AGAGAATTGTAAATCAAAGCAGCTCTGCAAGTGTCTGTTCTAGAGAGCTGGGTAGCAGCCTGCAGCCATTTGGCACCAAAGGATGCAAGTCGGCAAGATCCAGCACCTGTTGGGCTCTAAACACTTTTCTTAGAATTCGCGCAGCTGACTGGCTCCTGGGGGAAAGGCAGCAGCTGCCGGGCAGCAGTGGTTAAATATAGGAAATGGAGAATGCCACATCCAACTGGAAAGGGAAAGAGGGAGACAGGAATCTAGCCGTAACGAAAATTCTTGGTGAAAAGGGCCCTCAGGTGTTCGAGAATCAGAGGCTTTTACACCCTCTGTTTTCTCTGTTGTCCGTGATGGCACCTACAGTAGCACACTACATCAGCCCCAGATAATGCCGGACACGTGGTTGGCATTGACTGTACTAATATGTGTCACTTCTGGAATGTTTTGGAGTAGCATGCAAGGACCCTGTCTCTCACTGCGAGTCATTTATAATTGCTGAGATGTGTTGTCCTTAATTTGACTTGATTCTTTGTAGCACTTTTAATAGCAAAAATGCTGTGAAAAGCTTAAATATGAAGCAATACAGCTTTAACACAGATGGAATTTGAAAAGGACATTCAACCTTCTCTAATCTTCTACTGAGATCAGCAAGTAAAGCAAAAGGAAGGACAACCTGAAAGATAATATTTTTCATTCTGATAATCTGCAGTACTTTAATTTCACCCAGGCATTTACAGGGCTCCTTTATTGAAGAGTCTGAGTGTTCCTTTTGCTTTAGCTGGAGGACTGTTAAAAAGGAACAAAAAAGCAAAACCCTTTGCTTAGCCACCTTTCAGGTGGTGCCAGACATCCTCGTAGAGAAAGGGAACAATGTGAAGTTGAGGAGGCTCAGCTACAGATTGGAAGATTATTCCTATTCTTCAGACAAACACAACAAAGGAAAGCAAGAGGAAAGAACGGGGAGGAAGAGAGAAACTCCTGTTTTGCTTTATTCTCATGCTGCACACGTCCGCAAGAGAGAGGCTCACGGCACACAGGTATGCCACAGCCTCTGGCCCTGGCTTACCTCTCCGTTCTGGGAGGACATCTGGCCAGCACACTCTCTTCTCCTCCCACCCTTTCTCCTTCACACTGGGCTGCGGCAGCTCAAGCTGGCTGAGCCTGTCGTGGAGATGATATCATGCAGTTAAATTAATTCCAAAGCTGGTCAAGCTTGGAATCAATTAGACAGGAGACAAAAAAGGAAGCTTGGAAAGAGAGAAAAACAGACCAGGTGTCAAACAGCATGCAAGGAGAGGGAATAGTGGGCATGGTCCTAAAGGTGGCTTAGGGTTCGCTTTAACACAGAGGATCTGCAGGTGAAAGCAGCATCACAACACTGCACAGATCACTTCTGTCTCCAACCATCCATACAGGGTTTCACTAACCGCCTCTCGGCCATACAATCAAGATAGCATCCAGAGTTCAAGAGGAGGGTGTTCCTTTCCATTTCAAGGACAACACTTGGATGGAAATAAAGATTACTCGGCTTACTGTACAGCAACCATCTCACTTTACGTTTGCCTCATTCCCTATGTCTTGACCTTTCTGTTGAGTGTAACCCAGGCCCAGGAATGGGCAATGCTGAGCAGGCATCATGCTCTCCGTTCACAACCTCCACATCTGCTGCAAGTTTGGGCCAATAAATCACAAATGTTGGAAGGAACGGACCACCTTCCTACCGTGTGTCCTGACAGCAGTTCCCACAGTGGGTGTCTGATCCTTGACTGAACCTCGAGGCACTGCCATATGTAAATAGTAGTAATCTCTGGTTTGTTGTTCCTCCAAAGGCGGATGTGCCTGCATGTGTCTGTCTGCTTGGAAGCTTAAATAAACCCAGTTGAGGTTTGTTTGCTTTTGCAAGCTTGATTCATCAGCTCGATTTCCAGAATGTGTAAAATATTTCCCAGTTGGTCAGAATGGCTATTTGTTATCTTTCTCCCAAGTTTGCCTTAGAGAAGACTTTTTAAAGATACATAGTTTTTAATCTTTTGATACCTTGGATGCTGGCCTGCATAATTGTAAAACAGCTGGCTTTTAACTCTCATATTTGTAATATTTTCCATTTTCTCCAGCATAATCATCTCAGAGACCCTGTGGGCAACATCAGAAAGAGTTAAATTACAGCTTTATATATTGAACCAGGTATAAGGAAAGGAACAAGGACTTTAGTAAATTAGAGTATTTTAGGAGCTTCTTTATGAAGCCACTCAGACAAACTTCAGTGTAATAATCCCTAGCAGGGCCATCAAAATTGCAGCCTCTACCAACTTTTACACCTTGCCTGCAAATTATCTTGGTTTATTTTGTACAGCTGCTCTGTTACACTGTTGTTACATTGTTTTTATTTACATACAAATACTTTACAGATAACATTTAGAACAAGAAAAGAAAAAGTAAAAGGTCACTGCACCAAGCAGTCTGTGATTTATGAGTGCCTCCCATGTCTTGCAGCCAGGAATGCGGCTTTTCACTAAAGCTGGTGGGACTATATCCTTCCTAAATTGCCATACCTGGTCAAAAGCATTTGCAGAGCCAGCCCCCACACTGTTAAGTGAGACTTCAACTACTTCAGCTACAGCAGGGAAAATTATGATTAGGTCCTTGAATCTGTTTCTAAGTGCTGGTCGTAGCTTTTCCACATATACTGTTAGCTCTTGGATAGCTCACCAACTGGTCTTCACCTGTCGTCAGTGGAGAAAGAGGCATTGCTAGAGGGCTGGCCATCTTTTCTGTTGATTGTAGAGTAGATTTTAGCAACTGGCTTGGGATAGGGGTGTGACGTTTGGATGCTGAGCTATAAGCCTGGTACTTCTTGCAGACTGCCTTGCAGGTCTTAAGTTTCCTCATTCATCTTATCGATAGTTAAGGGGAAGAGGTGGTTTATGGTTATTTCGGATTTCACGTTCTTCTTCCAAAATGCAAGGCTTGGGCTTCTGTATTTCTGTTAGAAGTTATCTGAACAGTTCAGAGGTCCCTCCCAACCTAAATTATTCTGTGGTTCTATGAGTCTAAATTTTTGAACAGTTCCTTAAAATTAAAATTAGGTAGGGAAAAGCATAACTTTCAACTAGTCACAGAGCTACTTTAAATCTCTTCTTTGAAAATTTCCCTTTGGCTGCTGTCTGAATTGTGCACAGTTTGCCCTCCAGGACCCGTTTGCTCTCTGTTGGCAAATCAGGTTCTTAGAGAGATGAAAAAAATGCTGGGAATATTTTTTTCTTGGGTCTTCTGCCCAGAACACAAATCTAATAGACACTCTCTTCTCATGTGCAAGCCCGTTAGACATCCTATATGTTCCCATCTGAGAAGCTGGTATGTTTGATGCTGAAGTCATATGTTGGGTGAATTAAGCCCCTCAGACCGCATCTACACTAAGTACATGAGATGAGTCCCCTGTACAGAGATCCAGCTGGCACAGAACAGCCAGCATCCTTGTTAAACTCACGTACTCATTAAGAGAGGGTGCCTGTGTGTAAATAGTCGGTTGGGAATGGTCCCTGTCCTGTTGGGAGAATGTTATTTGGCCCAGACCGAAACCACGTGAGTGGCAGAGACAACTGAGTTCTAGTGCAGGAGAGTATTCCCTGGCAATGTTGAAATTACTAGTACAGATGTATCCTCAGGGAGCCCATGCTTACAAACTCCTATTCTTGAGTTCCAAGTAAATGCGATCTTCCTTCCTCTCAGTGCATGCTTTTGTGGGTTGTTTCATTGGGTCATTTGCGGGGGGTTTTTTTGCTTTTCTCCCATACTCACTCTTAAAATGGTTTATTTTTTGTTCTGTTGCAAATTCTGCTTATTACCCCTTACTTTATAGAGTCTCTATGATGCTTTCCATCAAATCTTCCTGATTCATTAGGGCTAAGAATGACAGCATGCTGTTCCTTCAGCCCACATATGGACAGCGTCAGATGGACAACATCCTCTGTAATATCATCTGCCAGTAGAGAAGCTGAACCTTTAACTTCAAATCCTGGCTCTTTGCCCAAATTAAATAAATGACTGTATACTGACCGCCATCATTTCTGTGAATTAACCGCTAGAGGGAGGTATGGCAGACTTAGCTTATTTTATTTTTACAGACTTTGTACTGTACACAATTTTATATACTTTACACATCCAGTTTTTCTAGTCCTTCTCTTTTCCATAAACTAAAGCCAGTTTTCATAAAACCCTCACTTGTTGCATCCTTATCGGGGTATTGGTTATGGGCTGTTCATCACAGACACTGTCTCATGGCTTTGTTTTTATGAGGCATCTAGTAAACTGTCACTGTGCTTGCAAAATATATTGCGTTTTCACATGGTATGAAATAGTGGATTTTGTAGCTCATTTTAGTAGCCAGAATTCTCCAAACGTTCCTCCTCGGTAGTTTTAAGTGCAACAGAAGCAGGCAGTCAAACATTGCAATGGCATGTTATTTCATGTAAGAATTTTTTTTTTTCTGCTTTCAAAACTAAAAAACCACTGCCAGCAGTGGGAATTGATCAAACCGTAACATTTGTGTGTGACGCCCTAATAGATTCTATAATGCCGTTAGCTTGGCTTACAACATGGCAGCTAGACAGGCATATTAGCCGCATCCTTTTACATGCAGACCTTGCTGTTAAATCGTGTTTGGCTAATCTTCCCTTAGGGGAAATTGGATTTCGGCCCCTCTCCCACCTCGAAACCCACTGTAAGATGTAAAATTGGTTTTTAGAAGTCTCTTTTTCTCTAAGGCACTTTAATTGGCATAAGGTAGTTGCTCCTATAGAGAGACTATTGATTAGCATTTTTATTTTGCTATACTTTAAAGTACACCACTTTCAAAAGCATTTCATGAAATACCAAGGCAATAAACCTAGCAATAAAAGGCCAGAATGGGGACTGACTTGGCTTGCTTACTCCTACCTGTCTCATTTGTTTTATTTTTTTATTTTTAAAACTGGCAAATGGCTGAAGCTGTTTTTCATTCTCCTTCTCAGCATCCCTTTAATGAAACCCAAGCTGGACATGGGAATCGATGTCAAGTACACAGCAAGAATTGCCCAAGGGGTTGAGGGGACCGGAGTTTCAGGTAGCCTTGTCCAGTGCAGCATGTTCTTCAGTGCCCACATCAGGAAAAAAGCAGGCACAGCCTGTGCTTAGTCTTCCCCTCCTTTCCCATCACTAGGGTTGCTGATAGTACTGTGACACCAACCCTGAGGAAGTGGGACAAAGTCATTAGAGAAAATGCATTTGGAGGAGTTTTCTACAAGAAAATATGCATGCGTCTTAACATCTCATTCGATTTTTCCAGCATACTTTATTAGACTTTTTAAAAAGTCTTTAATGCATTATTTTATCTTTGTAGAGATGTTAAAATGCCTCTTTTAGTCCTCCACACCTATTTTCAGCATGAGTACATTGGTGACCACTCTCAGGGCTTTGTTCCTTTGGGCTTTCTTTGTTCCCAGAAATTAAATAAGTTACAATTTTAAATGTGACAGTCTCTGAAGTTGAGTCTGTCTCACGTCTGTGTCAGACTCAGTTTTCTCTTAGTTAATGGGTTACTGACAGCCTGAAGTCAGAAGTTATATGTGTTCTAGCTGCAGAGCATGTCCTGAATGCCAAGTTTTTTCAATTTATCTTTTGTCTTCTACTGCCTATCATATCCCAAAAGCAAAAATAACAACTTGGACTGTTTCTGTTTGCCGGCACCAGTGAAAATAAAATTTTAAGTATGTAGATGGCAACACTATGTGTTTGGAAACTTGTATATTCAATAAAGTAAATACTCAAGTTGCCAGAGCTTTGTAGAAGTAGAGTACATGAGTACTCAAGAGCAAAAATGTTGAGTGAAAACAACTTGGTGATCCCAGTCCAATCTTGTTACATTACTTATCATCAAAATCCAGGGCTTGGAGGCAGAATAATTTTGACCTAAGACGAAGCATTCGTGTATTTACTCTGTGCTTTCTTTTGTAGAAACCATTATGGGGGTACATTGCTTTGCCTGGATCTTGTGTCTAATGGTACTTTGCATCCATCTATGCCACTGAGACAGATTTAATTTTAGAATGTTTCAGAAGCGCCTTTTCACCAATCAGGCATTAGCTGTACGAAATCACCATGAACTGCTTTGCTTTCTCAGCATGGCTCGGCTTTATCCTCAGTCAATAGACATCTTATCAATCCTTGTTCAAAGACATTCTCTTGCTTCCCCTGGGCTAGTGCTGGTGATAGATAAAAAGTCTGCAAGCTTGGGTTGTGATTTGTTAGTCCCAAGTTATTTGAGGCAAATGGATAATAAACAAATTTTGAAAGTCCACCCAGTTCATTAAAACTTGAAGCAGTCATTTGAAAGTGTGGTGGGGTTTCAGAGGGCTCTCAGCTTCACAGCAGGGCCCATGATGATGCATGTACAAACCAAAATGTAATATAAAGTACACTTCTTTCATCTTCACAAAGAGGTTTTATCATACAGCCTTAAAGACCTTTAGATCTTTCTACATCTGAAAGGAAGATCCAGCATCTCTTGGAATTTCTCAGTATAGATTCAGAACCCCTTTAGTGACTGTTCCTTTGAATCTCTGGGTTAACTCTCATTTTTGTTTTGTATTAAAGTTTCTCTTTTTGTTACCTTTATACTTACAAGGGTCATTAGAGAATTATCCCTAAACTTCAGAATATTAGCAGTTTCTGACAGCTCCTGCTATTTCCCTTCCTATGGTTAACTTGAATTTTCACTTGAACCAAAAAATAATTCTTATCATTACTTTATCTCAATTCTAAAAATTTCCCTGAAGAACATCTTCAGTTTTCTTTAGCGTCAGTGTGATAGTCTTCCACCTCATATCAGAGAAATGAAAGGTTTCATAAGAACAATTTTTCCTTGTTCCATAGCTGCAGAATGTTCTTAATATTAACAAGGAACAAAGCAGTTTCTTTTAGAAGCAAATCCATTGGTACTTCTGTAGCAATTAGATATTATTAGAAAATAACTTCATTTTTTACGGATTTCTCTATGGGTACATGGGAAAAACATAAGCAAAGCTTCTTCTTTAATGAACATAAAGTATAAATGTTCTGCGATTAAGATATATTCTGTGAATAACTAATTGTAATCTGTGCATATACCCAGACAGCTTTCTTTCCCTATCCACTAAGCTTTCAAGACAGCCATTAGTCTAAAATAAACAGCCATTTCCAAGTGGGAAAGTTACAAAGAACTTTTGAGAAGGCTGAGCCATCTGAGGATGCTCCAGTACGAGAAGGCAAACCTTAAAGCATTTAAAACACAGAGAGGTTTACTCTCATGGGTCAACATGCTAAGGACATAAGAGAAAATGAATGTGTACCAGCAGTGGTATTAGCATTTATTATAGTAATGCAGTGACTGGAAAAGTACAGATAAATGGTGAAATGTGATACATCTGTCATCCGTTTTAGCCCATTAGATTCTTAGAAATCCAGATATACTGTCATGGAGAGACTGTTCTGCTGCTGCCTTAGTTTGCCTCATTACTGTGGATGAAAAGCTTCTATAGGCAGATTTCTCAAATGTTACCGGTCTTGGATGCCTGCTGTAGGGCCTAGGATAAGAAAATTCCCCCAACCTGAAGAAGGTTCCTGAAGCACAGCAGCAGAGGAGTACCAGGACATTTCCTGAATTCATTTGGAGGGTTCTGACAGTGGATTGCTCCTCCTCCTCCTCCTCCTCCTCCTCCTCCTTCTTCCCCTTCTTCTCCTTCCATACCATCAGTCTTACTTTGGTAGAACCCATCATGCTGCCTCCTACAAAGAGATTTGGAAGACATAGCTCTCAGATTACAGTTTCCATGTCAGTGTTCATCAAAGGTTGCAATAAAAGTCACCAGAAATAGACTAATGGGGGCAGGTTTCTGGAGGGCCCCAGTCTGTGAGGATACCAGAGGCTCAGGAATGCCAGGGGGATATAAGCAGATCACAAAGAAGCGATAGGAACGCATAACACTAGACATTCAGCTGGGTGAATAAATATACTGTCTCTCTGCCAAATTATTTATGGTTAGTGAAACAAAGGGAATGTTTTAATGGATAAATTATGTTATAAGGCTTAGAACTATTAAAGTCCTACCTAACTGTGCAGGTGATGTCATTTATGACTCTAAGAGGTGGAGAGAAAAACTACAGACACAAATGTTTTTCTTTCTGAAGGAAGCAAGGTGTGTATGGGTATGAGTCTCAGAAACAGATATGCGCAAAAATGTATGCATGATTTAGAGCAATTATGTATGTAAACTTGATAGTAATGCATTTGACAGATGACTAGAGACCTAAGGGGTCACTTGCATATGCAAAATTATCCATTGATTCTTTGGACCCAGTTTTCACACTATGATGTGACCAGATTAACTCCCACCCCTGTGGAATTCAGATTCTTAGAGGATACTGTAGGGTTTTTCTCCCATCTCTTTAAACAAACATTCTTTTTCATCAACCTGTTTTAAACATAAAAATGTAAAGGAGAGTAAAAATAGTAAAAATGAAACAGTGCTCTGAGCTGCCTGCCTTGCCATCATGTCTTGTACAGTAGTTAGATCTGATTTTTAGAAAAAAGTGGAAGAAATTCTGCAGGAGGCACTTGTAGGACCTCTCCTAAGCTTATATAGCTCATTGTTTTAATTTGAAATCTCGTTCTATTAATATTTCATAATTTCAAAGTAGAAAGAAATCCGCATGGCAGAAGGATGAGAATAAAAGGGGTTTCTCCTTGTTTACCTTTTATCCAAGGTAGCTGGACAGGTAAGTAGAGTTTCTGTGGAAGTAGGGAGGATTTGGTTGATGTTTTACAAAGGTTTTCTATGTTATTGTCACTTCAGCATGTTCACTTTCATCCAAAATCATTTCAGTTTGTATTGAGAACTGAAAGAGATTTCCAAGACTTCTGTAAGGGGTCTGAAGCTCATATGGTTGCAGTATTTTGGTATCAGTGGGTCTCACCATTGTTCCACTATTTTTTAATTTGATTAGCCCATATAAGCCAAATTTTGCAAAGGGTTCCTGTTCTCAAAGACTGTAATTTTTCTCCCAATTTCATTAAATACCTAATGAGTAGAGAAGAGAGACTTCTACATTGCCTCCACTGATGAAATGTGGAACATCTCAGGAGCATTAGGAAGGACTCACTTTTTCTGTCAGAGCTCAGTCTTCCTGACAACCAGAAAATGCAACCACAAGACTCCCTCCCTAGGAAACCATCCTTGCATGCTCACAGACTTACTTGGTTTTCTTGGATGAGTGTCAGGTGGCCAAATGTTGCTCCCCCCTGCATTATGCTGATATAACTGAGTGAAGCCTTTGGCTTGTTGACTGATAAGCATAAAAAATACAATTAATTGCAGGGTTCAGAGAAATCTCAGCTAAGGAAGCTTCTTAGAGCAATGCAGCTACTTAAGTATCTGCAGAGGAAATATTTTACCGTTGTACGGGCTGTCAGATCCTTAGGTGGCAAACGGTATGACAGGGCTGACCCTGTGCATGGCCCCAACACGCTCGCTGGCTGGAACAGGTCCCTTCCCACTCATTCCCCCACCCTTTAGACAAGGAGGCCAAGACACAAAGTTGTGGTGACTTGCTAAGGTTCACAGAGCATATCTGTCACACAGCTTTGAATCACAGCGCTTGGTCTCGGCAATCTGCTCCTCTCTTCTGAAATGAGAGTAACACATGCTAACACACATACTCATTTAGTTCCCAGTCCCTAATGTTGATCTACCAACAGGGTTTCAATTTCTCCTGCCCGTTATTTCCACACATGCTCTTTTTTTCCCACATATAGGAGAGAGTCATGCACCAGCACAGTTCTGCATCAAACCCTGAATAGCTCTGCATGTGTTCAACTTGACATGTGGGAGTTCTGCAAGGGATGTATGTTTATGGAGGATTAGGGACTTGAAGTAGGTGGCACTTCATGATTTCACTGACCAAATGATTCAAGCTGCCTTTGCAAATTACCCATCGGCACCATACTGTATTTGTCTGGAGGTTGCACTAGTTTGAGTGGTCTTGAATGTGGAATGAGTTCTTGTTATCCTGACTCTGAAATTGTTTTCT